AAGGGGCTGGAGGAGGCGGCGGGCAGGGAACCGGACCCGAAGGGGCAGCAGGAGGCGGCGGGCAGGGAACCGGACCCGCAGGCGGCCGGGCCGGGCGGCGCAGGGCACGTGGGCGGCGGGCGCCCTCCTCCGCCGGGCCCATAAAGGCGGCGCGGCCGGCGGGGCAGGGTGCGGGGTCTGGGTCACTCTGCTCCGCCGGAGTCCTGCCCTGGCCGGGCAGCGGCCGAGCCCCGCGGCCCATGGAGATCCCCCTCAAGTACCTGCCCGGCGGGCGGGCCGGCGCCAGCGGGTGAGCGAAGCGGCCGGACTGGGCTGTGCTGTGCTGGGCGCGGTGCCGAACCCGGGTCAGCCCGCCCGGGGCCGGCGGGGTCAGGGCGCTCCTTCGCCGGCGGCTGCGGGCGGGCCGGGGACAGCTCATCCCTCCGGCCGGGGCCGCGATAGCAGCGGGGCACGGGGAGGGCGGGGGAGCCGCTTGCAGCGGGCACAGGTGGAGAGTGGGTACAGGTGGACAGAGGGCGGACGTGTCGCGGCACACTCGGGCTGCTGCACAAGGTAGGTCCTGCCCTCCGCCGGGAGGCTCCGAGCGGGGCCGGTGCGGGACGGGCAGCGGGGCGCTCCGTGTGTGCCCCGGCTGCGGCCGCTCTCCCGCGGCGGCCGAGCGGTGGTGGCGGTGGCAGCTCTGCACGGGAGGGCTTTTCCCTCTGTTTCTGGGAAGCGCAAGGCGATGCCATCCTCTGGCAGGGTGCTGAGCTTAGCAAAGCTCCTGAAGGTGAAGCTGGGGTTGCCCAGGCTGACGTGTAGGACCCAACTCAGTGGATTTTTCTTTTCCTTTTTTCTTGCTGCTTTCCCGCTTAACACCTCATCAATCTCGTTAATGCCTTTTCAAGATACAGATAAATGTTGYTGATAACGGGCAGTGTTGTTCTGATGGACACTGTTAGTGTTGGTACAGTAGTGAGTTACTCATTAAAAACAGTGACTGTGCTCACTTACTAAGCACATTTTAGTCACTTGATTCAACGGTGCTTTTTCTGCTGGGTGACGAGCTAAGTATTACAAGTGTATTTCTTAAGTAGGTAGCTGTAAATTGTAGTCCTTACTGTTGAAAACTCTTTCTGAGGTGGAATGTTGAGCCCTGAAATGCCTCTGTATAAAACAGGTGAACAACAGAGTGACCGAGTGTGCTCCCAGCTATAGCATTGAGGTGTTGGTTGTAGTAATGCTGTTGTTGGAATTAAGGAATAACAGTTATTATGTAGGACACCTGGATATGCGTCTAAGCATGCGTAGTACAGTTCGTCTTCATTCACAAAAAATTTGGTTGTGCCAGTGCTTCACAAAACATACTATGGAAACCTATTGAGTGGTGTTAATTACACTGGTGTGTCTGAATTGAAGTGTTTCATTGCTCTATCTTGAGCTGGATGCTTTGTTTCAATTAGTTTGAGATTATTATGCTAATAACCATGTGGTAGGTCTAGATGGTTTGTTTTAAATATGGTAAGTCACTGTTAATCTCTTGGAGCTTTTAAACTTGTTTAATGCTTTGGTTGAAGGTTCTAGTGCAGATTTAATGCAGTCTGTTTGGGTGTAATTTTGAATCTGTCTTAGAAAAGAGTGAATTAAAAAATAATTGATGTATTTCACCTGTTGCCTGTTTCACCGGTTTAAGAAATGAATTATTTTTTAAGTACTACACCAGTAAATGCCTGGTTTTTATTGGAAGACATAGTCCAACAGTGATACAAGCTTGATTCATGGGTCTTCMTATTAAGCTGAAAAAATGTGTTGCTTTTCTTGGTGGAATTTCCTGCTCACAATTTCTACAGTCAGTTAATAAAGGGAGCTAAAGACATGAGTGAAAATAATTCCCCGCCACAAGTGAGGATTGTGTAAAGGTCAAAGTGCTATTTTAGTTAACATCAAGTTTTTGGGATAGCTGTAAGCTTTTGCCAGACAACTTTGGAGTAAACTGTTATGTCTTTCATGGTCTGTATTTGAATATAAAAAAATAGTGTTTGTTTTAGAGTTTGCTGTTTGATTTTGTTTGGTTTGGGGTTGGTGTTTTTTTCTTTCGGTTTGTTGTTTTTTTTTTGTTTTTTTTTTTAAGATCTATCACTTCTGATAAGCTTTTACTGGAAGCTTAGGGCAGGATTTTGCTGAAGTCTTGGAGTGGTTCTTATGTTATACCTTCATGCTTTAAAATTTGACCATATTTAGCTTAACCCTGTTCTGTTTCCTCTTTCTTTCCCCCCTCCTCCTGTYGCTTTCACTCTGGGTTGGCTCTTGTTCGCTGTGTGCCCACACAAATGCTTCTGCCTGTTCAAGAGAAGCTGGTGCAGGAGCAGTGATGTCTCTGGGTGTCAATGCAGGACTCAAGTGTGTATGTACCTCTTTCCTTAATCAGTACTCAAAGCTAAAATTACCACACGCTCTTCTGTCAGGTGTGTTTACATTTTTCAAAGTGTTTGTATCTTAGACAAAGCTAGTCCAATTTGTTTTTATTATAAGTTTAAATAGCGATGCTATCCACAGTTTCTTTTTCTTGGAAACTTCCCATGTTTTTCCTGCTTCAAAAACCAAAATCATCCTGTCTCTCATCATCTTCATAAAAGGTTGTTTTAAGGCTGTGTAGGAAAGRTAACTTTTGAGCTTTTAACATTAAAATAGATTTTTTGTTGTTTTCACTTCCTCTTCTGGGGAAACACCTCACAGTGTGAGCTTTACTGTGCTTTTTTAAGTTAAATTTCACTTCTTGTGGGAGAGCTGGTTCTAGCAAATCAAGTGTTCTTCGTGATGTACAGGTTGAACTTAAATGCCTGTGCACTTCAGACAGATGAGGATGCAAAAAGTAAAAATGAAAAAATATTCCAGGTATCTGAAAGCTTGGAATCAATGCTTTCGGTTTTGTGCCTGAGACAAAATGTTATCCTTTATAAAATKTGGACCATTAGGAATAATATTCTGAATGGTAAATGGGACTGATAATCATCCAGTGTCAGATATGATTCTCTTAACATGTAAAGGGAAGAMAAAAATAACAATTTGATTCTGGTCTGTGTGTGAAATAGGAAAGTTCTGAAAACTTCTGGCACTGACTGGGAGATGGGAAAAGTTTTTTCAATGACTCATTCAGTTGAGAAGGAGAAACTTAAGGTGATTTAAGACCTCTACAACAACAATCCTCTGTGCTTGCTCCTCTGATTTTTACATGTGCGGGTATTTAAATAAATAAATGCCTGTGAATTTAGCTCATGAAGCTGCACTTTTGTAACAGAAATGTGTGTAAAGCCTGCTCTGGGTTAATCTTTAAAGAAAACTTTTATTCAGGTAGAATGTGGGTTATTCAGACAAATGTGTTAACAGTGGTCCCTCTTTGTTTCAAATGGATTTTTAGTGGAGTAATAGCAAGTCCACGTCTCTGTATTACAGACACTCTTATTTAATGCGTGTTTACTGATAATTATTTGTCTAAATGCTGTATCTYAATGATCTAATATGTTTGAATGTTTTTAAATGATGTGATCACTGGGAAATATTTTTGCATTTCAGTAAAATAACCCAAAAACTAATTTGGATGAATTTGGACTAATTTTATGTCATATGGTGAACTGAAGTGAAACKGCAATGAAATTGTCTGCCAAAGCATTTTGTTGGTTTCTAATCAATGTGTTCTTTATGGCAGAAATATGATGACTCAGTCAGATTTAGATCTAAAAGAGACAGCTTTGAAAGAGGATTTGAAGTTTTACTTCATGAACCCATGTGAAAAATACAGAGCAAGACGTCAGATACCATGGAAACTGGCTTTGCAGATTTTGAAGATACTTATGGTTACTACACAGGTAATCCTCTGTTTTTACTCTTGGAGTAGCARTGGTGTGCAAGAGGAGCAGGTCTGTGATTCTGGGCCTTTGCCACCCCTGGGTATTTGTTACTGACTTCAACTTCCCACTTCAGTCCATAAAGAAAAAATAATAAGGAAGGTCTTTCAAGGGGAAAAAATAATATAAATTACAAAAGCCTCCTGGAGATTTTGGGGCAGTGTTTGACCCRGTGTTTTGCCATTTTGAACATAACACTTTAAAGCAAATTACTCTTCCTACTAAATCCAGCACTGTCTTCAGGCTTCTTGTCGCAATACTGTTTCCTTTTACATTCTTAGATTACAGTTTCACTGGACTGTTTCAAAAGCGATATTTCATGATATCTAATCAGAAAATTGAAATGTGCAATGTGAAGATACTGTGGTTTCTGATGATGATGGGATAACTGGGCTGCAGGGATTGGATGTGTCCCTTGGTCTGTTTTCAGATAATGCATTTGAAAAGTCAGCCACTGCTTGATATTCTCGATAGAGGCAAAGAAGAGGGTGTTTTTAAACTGTGCAGGTATCACAGTGTAGTTGGTTATTTTACAATCCACTAATAGTGACTGCACGTGGAGGGAAGTGAAATGGGTCACAGATATAAGCAGAAATTACTTTTTCTGAACCTTYGAAGTGCAAGACTCTGACATCTGACAGTTTGCAAGAACAGCTAAATACAAGTGCTTAGTTCTGGGATCCCAGGTTTGTGTTTGACTTGTCTGCCATGAATGAAACAGAGCACAACCCCAGCTTACGTGTCCCTGTGTTTCACTGTCCATGGCAGACTCTGCAGCCCCTCTTGGCTGGCTCTGGCCTCTCCTGCCACCGTGCTGTGCCCAAATCCTGCCAGGCCTCTCTCTGCAGGCAGGAGTGGGATGCAGTGGTTGGTTGTAGAGGCAAAGCCAACTAAAATAAGTGATTGATACTGGTGCTGGCACAAGTGTGACCTGTAGGGATAGAGCTGGGATTGTATTGAAGTGTGTGGGGGAAGGAGGTGGTGGGCAGTGTGAGCACAGGGTGAGCTGACTGCAAGGGCTGCCTTGGCTTTCTTTGCTGGCAGCTGCCCCTCTTACGTGGGTTGTTCCTCCTTGTTCAAAGCCAAGACAGTAAATTTTGCACGTGAATGTTGATATAAAATACAACTTTACATGTCTCTGAAAAGGTTCAGTACTGCCCTCTGTCCTACCCTACTGACTTCAGTTCTTGGGGGTGTTCCTGATCATGTAATTTTTCTGCTACCCCAGTCTCCCCCTATCCTTTGTGAGCAGAAGGGGTGTTCTGCTGCTTGGTTTTACAAAGGTCACAAGATTTTCTGGACTGCTGCTTGAGCCTTTCCTTGTCAGCCCTTGGTTTTTGCTCAGATGTCAGGCAAATAGATGGGGTTGGGGATATCCTTCTGCTACTGTACCTGTGAAGAGGCTCTTGCTGAAAACCCGAGCAGTGTCTAGGCTCTGTTTGTTTTTTTTCATGGTGATGGGAATGGGAACGGGAACATCCATATGGCAGGGAAACTCAAGTCTTGGGTAGTAACTCTGCTGTTTCTTGTTAGAGCCTCCTTGAGCAGCACCTGGGTCAGRCAGGTGATGCTTTTTATTGCTGTAGGGTCCCACACAGGTTTGCTCTAATCCTGTGCTATGCCAGAGGTAGAAAAGGTGCAGGAATCTGCCCATAGCAAAGCAGAGCATTTCAGGGGTAGCAGGTTATGCTGAGTTAGCTTGTCTGCCATTGGCATCCTCCACAAAGGCTTTTGCAAATTCCCGTTTGAGTTGTTGGTCCATGGTATGTAAAAGGTGCAAGTGATGCAGCTCTAAAAGGTGCAAGTGATGCAGCTCTAAAAGGTGCAAGTGATGCAGCTCTAAAAGGTGCAAGTGATGCAGCTCTAAAAGGTGCAAGTGATGCAGCTCTAAAAGGTGCAAGTGATGCAGCTCTAAAAGGTGCAGGTGATGTAGCTGTCTGTTCAGCTGCTGCACTCAGATTTTTGTTTCTCTAACCCTGCTCGTGATAACCTTGGCTTTGGTGGTCTTATGGCATTTGTTACCAGGTTGTTTCCTCCTACCACAGCAGCATTACAGCAGCAGGCACCTGTCTGTTCTGTATTTACTATCACTGAAAGCTGCTTCTAAAATGCTTCTGCTTGACCACTGTTCAAAATTCTAATGTGTTTCTTTTTTTCTTCTGACAGCTTATATTTTTTGGTTTGAGTAACCAGCTGGTGGTCTCATTCAAAGAGGAAAACACTGTTGCTTTTAAACACCTCTTCCTGAAAGGCTATTCTGGAATTGATGAAGATGACTACAGCTGCAGTATATAYACACAACAGGATGCTTATGATAGCATTTTTTATGTTATTAATCAGGTAAGTGTGAGTGTTTGTTTTTAGCTGTAGCTTCAGCTTTAACACAGTTATAAAGTTCTGTTATCTGTTTCCATTCTTGGATTTCAGTTTTGATATTYCACCACATCAGTGAAGGTGGGGTGTCCTGAGGTTTGTGTTGTAGCTGAATTTTTGTTTCTTTGAGGTGAATCCAAACCAGAATTTTACTCAGGTAGTTCTTCATCCCAAAATCCAGAAAATATGMAAATTGGTCACCTTGCATGAGCTGGAGCCTTGGTTTAGGTTTAGCCTTTGAAGACCTAGGGGCCTGAATATACCTATGCATGGTATTAAAAAAATTGTGCTTACAGATCTCCTGAATTGCAGCTTTGTAGTGAGTGCTGGAGGTCTCAAAATTGGGAATATGGTACTTCAGGGATGTAGGGGCACTCGCCCTGGTTAAGGATGGTATTTTAAAATTGAGTGGGAAACTTCAATGTGAAATTAAACGATTGTTTTTAAGTTTAAAAACCTGTATTGATACACCTTCGAGGTTTCAATTTACTATCTAGTGCAAAAAAGAAGGCTTTCTCTAACTTCTACTTCTGTTTTTTGTTTTTAAACTAGTACAGGCATTTAAAGAACATATCCCTGGGGACRCTTGGTTATGAACATGAAGAATCAGGTTTAAAAATCTGTAAACAACAGTACAAGAGAGGCACAATGCTTCCTTCCAATGATACTCTGAACATAGATGTTTCTATTGAAACAGGTACAGTACTGGTGTACTTAAAATGTCTTGCTTGGAGTACTTAAACAGTAGCACTAAAGCTGAAAACCAGTAGCTTTTTGTGTGGCAATCACAGGAACATTACCRTGCTTCTTGCCTGTTTCTCTCTTGGTTTTTAGCACCTGTCTAGAAATGAGAGCTGTGTAGATTGTAAAAGGCTCTCTTCAGCCACTGCAGAGCTCTTTGTACTTGACAGTGAGGTGGTGTTTTGTTGGGTTTTTCTTTCTTAAACAAACATCTTTCCCCTCTGTGCAGGAGGTTCAAATACAGAATTCTGGGTGCTGGTCAGCCTCTCAGAGCTGAGTCCTGGCTGCTCAAGAGTTAGTACACAAACCTGCTTCTGACCCCAATAGTTGGGGCTCTGTGTGAATAGGTTTGCTCAAAATTATTGTTTTCCTTGATTAGGACTTGTTAAATGCATTGACTATCTCAATTTAATGCTGCTTCCAATGTGAAGTTTTTATGATGATATGTTTTCCTCTTGTCTTTACAGAATGTATCCTTTTAAAGCCAGAGGAGCTAGCTGGTAAGAAGGCAGAACTGAAGCTGAACTCTTCTTTTTTCAATCTTGAATTTTACAGGTGAAGTGATTGGSTTTTTTTATTATTCCAGCTTGTCCTTTCATATTAATGTGGTGGATTCTGATTTGTGCATTTTTGTGTGTATTTTTTGTGATATTTAAATATATTTGTACACTTTTTCCAAATATCCAGGCTTATACAGATTGAAATCTCCTTCAAGCTGAAAGGCATTGCTCTRCAGACAATCCATGCCCGTGAATTGCCTGACTGCTATGCATTTCAGAATACTGTAAGTGAATGYGGGCTGTGGCCCTTCCAGCACTGCATGTGTAATGAGAGATTCAGCTGAGGTGTAGCTATCATCCTCACATCTAGACAGCAAGGGAAACACAGCTGAGCATGTGCTGGCTATTACTCCTCCTTCCCAAAGCTGCTGGAATGGTGTTTCCTTGGGACGGGGTTGTTTTGTAACATATCCCAGTCAGTAACTTCGTAACCTGAGAAAGGGATAAGGAATTATTCTTCATTTAAAGATTAATTGTGAAATTTGGCCTTTTGGAATAATTCTCATTAGGCAAAAAATGTCATCTTCTCAAATTATGTCTGCACCATCATTTATGGTCACAACCTTCTTAAAGCCTATCTGATCAACAATATTAATGCTTGCTATGTCCAAAGCACTTAGCAGGATTTGTTTTCTGGAATGAAACCTTGCTAGTCCTGTTTCTGATACAGCTCTGTATTTTCAGATAACTTTCAATAACAGAGCCCACAGTGGAAAAATCAAAATCTATTTTGACAGTGACACTGACATTCAGGAGTGCAAAGACTGGCACATATTTAACTCTGGTAAGTATGGGGTGTGTGTGTGTGTGTGTGTGTGTGTGTGTTTTCCTAGCAGCAGTTATGCATCTCCCATTGCTTTCCCTGGTCTGTACCAGCCTGCCCAGCAAGGCTTTCCCCAGCCTGTTCATCCTTCTGCCCTGAAAACAATGCAGCTTGCCTAAGGCAGTTCATGGCCTCTTGCTAATCAGGAGATAGGAAACAATACCTTTTGGGAGGGTGTTGTGAGATGACACGCTATCTGTGTACCAGTGTGTGTTAGCAGTGAGCTCTGTCTGCAAGGAGGATCAGTGTTTCTTCCACAGATTTTTAATTGTTGTTGCTGCTCTGAGATGACTCAGTTTAATCCACTAACGCTGGGTAAATTTCTTGCCGAAGCCCTCTACAGCTTTCAAATTTTTTTTTCTTCTGACTAATTGAAGCATACRATTTGTGAGAGTTGATTTTTCTTGGTTTTTTTTGAGTTATTTTTACCACTACTGATAGATTAAATTATGTGTATGAGCAAAGACTGGCATCTGCCATGTATTTCTAGTGTTAAGTCTTGGTCTGACAGCTCAGGAATGTGCACTAAAGGCCCTTTAAAGGAATAGTAGCTGTGATAGCACCCTGAAACTGCTTCTCCCATGTGCTGACTTGCTGCAAAGAACTGTGATGGAGTGATATTTTTCAGTGTGCTATATAGTATTTTGATTAATAAATATATTAAGTGGCCTGCCTTTTGCCTGGGTAAAGCCATTCTCAGATGACACCATGTTGTAGTGATATTAAAGTGGTGATTTATAGGATGTTCTGAATAACCTCAAAGTGCCTCTGCTTGCATCTATGTTCAGTAGTTTCTTTTGGCCGTCTTTCAACTATCTGTTCCTGAGTAGTTTATTTTGCATCTAATAACCAGCTGAGGGACATGCATAATTGTGTAATAAAGGTGAGCTGAAGTGCTATTGCAACAATTAAAAATGAATGTTGGCCTATATTTCATGTAGTTAATAATGTATGTTATGGAAAAGATAGGGACAATTGATGCGAGGAAGTGAAGAAAAACACCTAATTCGTGTTCACATGATGGCTTTTAAATTGTGGATGAAAAGAAAACAGTACAGAAGGTCCAACAAGTTTCTTATTGCAGACTAAGGTGGGGATTTAAAAAAAAAAAAAAATGGTGTTGATACAGACCAAATCTGCATTTCTTTTACTTCGTGTAATTGTAACACTGTGGAAACACAGATGGACAGGTAAAAAGGGGGGGGATACCTGTATTAACATACCAGTTTTGGGGTTTATTTKGAAGAACTTGGAACATACTTTTCATTCTTATGGCCCAGTCTCCATGGCCAAGTCTTGATGTAAATCTGCCTAGTTGTGTTCAAAACATGCTTGCAGGAAGAATATAGCTTAGAACCCATCTGTTCATAGGGTGAGAGTATTTGAACACAAACTATTACAAAATGTCACATAACTTGCACTAAAAGAGATGCAAAAAGACTAACCTTACTTAATTTCCTTGACTCTTTACAGTTCTCCAGAAGAATGCTCAGTATATTCTAGTCTTTGATGGCTTTGTCATATTAAGTTGCTTGGCATCTCTCATCCTCTGCACACGATCCATCGTTCTTGCCTGGAGACTGCAAAAGGTGAGCTCAGTGCTCGTGACCTGAATGCTCCTTTGGTCTCTGCCTTCTTTGCTGCTGGYCTTGTGAAGGAGTCCCTTTTGAAACGTTGAGTGTTAAACTGAATAAATATCTTGCTAGATGCCCCTCTCTTACCTACACCTCTTTTCTAGAGATAGCAGTATCTTGGTGAACAATTGCTAACTGAATGGGGTTTTTTCTGTTTGTGTAGTGCTGTAATATGAAGTATTTTGTTATATTTCTTAAGGGCAAAAGAACGACGCATTTTCCCTGCCCAGGATTTTAGACAAAAAGGCATCTGAGTCTTTGTGCTGCAAACAGGCAATATGTCCTGCACCTCCAAACCATGAATTCTTTCTTCACTGGCTTCACAGTAGAATTCCCATAGAGGTCCAGTCATAAATTAATGCCTTAATCAACATCCCTCAAAACCAGCTCTAAATGGAGAATATAGGCTAACTCTGACTGGTTTTTTTTTTTGGAAGCATCTGGCTCATGAGAGTTAWAAAAAGAGTCCAGGGTAGGTAGGATATAAAAACACAAATAATTGTTTATGTGGCTGAATATATAATTTTTTTTAGCTTGGAAACAACAGCAAGAGTGAGGACAATTCAGAGGCATTGTCAAACTGCTCTCAGAAACAGGCACATCACATTTATTCAGAGCAAAAAGAGCAAGTGAAAGCGGATGGGCAGTGTTGGGCACAGAGGTGATCTTGTTTGCTCTATTGGAAATGAGAGTTCTTGCCCTGCGGTTGTATTTGAGTTACTCTTTTTTAACTCTTCAGTTGGATGCCCTTGCTCTGTTAGAGGTGGATAGAACCCATGGTGAAGGGGATAACAGGCCATGGTTAGGCTAGTGGGGATTGGCTATGAAGTCAGGTGTTCTGGGGAAAGTTCATTTTCACTGCCCTAAATCCATCTTAAATTTTTTTCCTCTTTGTTTCTGTTGCTACTGAGAATTAGATTTAAACTACTATTCCAGCAAATACTGTAGGAAAAGGGGGTGTGTGAAACTTGAACATTGTTACCTTTTTCATCTAAGGTGACCTGTAACTAAACATTTAAATGCTTGTCACTAGAGATTTGTGAATTTYTTCCTGGAGAAGTACAAGCGCCGTGTCTGTTATGCTGATCGCCTGGAGTTCCTAAATGGCTGGTATGTCCTGGTAATTATCAGTGATGTGATGACAATCATTGGGTCAATCCTAAAAATGGAAATAAAAGCCAAGGTAAGAATTTCCTGCTTCAGCTACAATACTACCTTGCTACAACCATGCTTAATGTGCTTTAATTTGGGGACAAATGGAAGTGAGCTGTAATAGTCAATAGTCATATGTTCACTTTTATTAATTCATTTCCTAGCACTAGTTTATCTAATAGCTGCTTTCAGTCACTTTTCCCAAAGTCTTTCAGTAAACCATGTGAGCTATTTAAACATCTCATTTCCCCAGTGCTAAGACCCCTAGTCCCTGGTATAGGATTTGTGGGTACATAGTTCCTAACACAAAGACCCCACAATCTGAGTTGTTAGTTCTGTAAAAAGTATTAATATGTACAATACAGGGAAACCATGGGTGATCCCCTTGAATGAACCAGGGGTCTTGATAGCTTGTAGGACTGGAAACATGGCTATCACAGCTTGCTTTCCTGGCAAGCACAGGCACAGACAGTGTCACCTGCTCATCCTTGACCTCCCTGCCTGGACTCGCTGAAATCAATGTGTTTTGTCCAGCTGGCAGCTCTTCAGGAGGCTTTTTGGGGTTGGTTTAGTGTTTTTTTTTTTCCTAGTTTGTTTCTTTTAATYTTCAATAGGTGTGTGTCAACAATTCATGTGTTCACAAAACTTTGTATTCTGGGAAAAACAGAGTATGTGGTGTGCTGCTCCTGCTTGACRTGYACTGAGGCTCAAAGGGCAGGTCCCYGAGTKGCCTCCRGGGGAAGAGCTGGGGAATYACTGTCTGTAGGGCRAGGTGGGGATGGAGGGTAGGAAAGCTTGAGCTAGATGGCTCTCTACTCCTTACTGCAACCAGTTCTAGCCTTCTAAAGTGAAGTGCAAGTAGATTAGATTGTAAACTTCTCTGTTCTAAAACAACGATCGGGGTCTGAAGGGCTGGCAGAGAACCTGTTCAGAGATGTAAATGCATGTAAGCATGGAAAGGGCTGTAGTCCCAAGGCTCACTTTTCATGKAAATGATGGCTCATGTTTTTTTAAACAATGAATAAGAGCTTCTTTGCCTAACAACAGCATACAGTAACCTTCTTTTTAAACAAAAGGTTTGAGTTATTAAATATAATTTTGAAACCATGTTGTAACCAAACTAAGGGCTTTTGTTCTTTCAGACTTTGCACTTTATGCAAATTTCAAGATTATCAGCATACATGTACTTTTTCATTTGCAGCACTGTTGTGTTTGAATTATCTTGGTAAATAACTGCAGTTCACCTTGATCTGATTTTTGTGATGTAGCAACAGGCTTTCAGTATTGGACTGCCCTGCTTTGTTTGTTTGAACYTCTGGAACTTGAATAGCTGTCAAGCTGACATACCTGCTGCTTTGTAACTTGACCACCTGCTYTGTTTGGATCCCTCAGAACCTCACAAGTTATGATGTCTGCAGCATTTTACTTGGAACATCAACTTTGTTTGTCTGGGTTGGAGTCATCAGATACCTGGGATATTTTCAAACCTACAATGTAAGGAGGGAATCAAATGTCTAGCAATTAAAGCATATATATGTACACACATATACATGTCACTTTTTTCGTATCTCTCTAATTTTTTTTCTTTTTTCCCTTTCTTCTTTGCTGCACTCTGACCTGTAGGTGCTCATTTTAACTATGCAGGCATCGTTGCCCAAAGTGCTAAGGTTCTGTTGTTGTGCTGGGATGATCTACCTTGGCTATACTTTCTGTGGTTGGATTGTCCTGGGACCTTATCACGAAAAGGTACATCAGCAGTGTCACTYCTTCTGTGCTGTAACGATGCCAATATCTCTGTGTGTGTATAGCTCCTAGTCAAAACAACAGAAATGTGTCTTAAATGAAATGAAAACCTGTTTAAAAGCTGTAAGGTCAACATGGGAGTGTTTCTTGTTCCATCTCTACCTCCTTCTATCTGCTTCTTTTAACAAAATAATTATTCTTGCTTTTTCTGAGTGCTTGAAGTCAGTGTGTTCTCCAGCACCCGGCTGTTTGTGGTGAGTGTGGGGTTTATYCAGGCCACGTCCATTGGGCTGTGTCTCTTCCGCCCTCTTCTGGCAATCCCTGCTCAGCTGGGTTGAAGAGGCATTGGTTGAAGAGGCATT